TTTATCTGTAACTATATTTGTTGTGTATGCTGCTGTCTGTTATAGACAGTGTCTCCCTTGGGTCACTACTGTTTAAAAATGACATTGAAAAACAACAACTATTGTCCAAGTAAGAACAAATAAACGGTTCCAGATCTCTCCTCTTAAAAAAGGAGAGCTCTGGAATAGCAGTTATGCATTACAGCGATAGCTATCACCCTGTAGAGAGTGAGTAGCTTGTCAACGGTTTAGGAGAAAGACTAGGAGGTTATAAATCCACTTAGCACAGGTTTGTATTTTTAAATGAGTCCGCACTAAGCTAAGATGCCACTGACCCTCGTCCTGCACTGCTCTGGCGGCTCGGGCCTGAGCTACTTCAGCGCTGACTGGTTTGTCTCTGTGTTCCAGCTGCACGGACAGAGGGACGGTGGGAATCTCTGGAAGATTCTCTCTCCACTGGGGTCCTTCCTCATCAATAAGCATCTTGGTGATCCTAGCAGAGGACACAGGGAGTAAAACATGCAGCGTAAGCACAAAAAAGTGTTTTATAAATAGCTAGATCAATGCCCCAACCGCTGCAGGGTTAAGTCATCAATTTACTATTAACATGTGTTGTCTTTCTACCAAGACATGTCAATGTGTCTCCTGTGAAAAAGCCCTCACCTTCATTTTAGAAGATTAGCCAGAGAGAGTGAAATCACCTGTGTGGGTGGATTTAGGTAAGTAGGCCCTTTCAAATGTGATGATACATACTACACACTAACTTTATATTAATATGTTTTGAGTCTGTAGTGTAGTCAGACTGGAACGTGATGATTAAAGAGGAGACAAAACAGGTTCATAAGTTATTTTAACTAATAGAAAGCAACATGAAACTTCCACTGTTGATTACTTACATACAGGCAATAACTTCGGAAATGTTATGTTTAAATATTACTTATCATGTTCTGACTTTTGACGAATTTAGGAGAAATATACAGACAAGTATAGATACATTTAGTAACACCTCCATTTTTTGAGGATGTGGTCTTTCGACTACTCATATTCAAAAGCGTGTTTTTGACTTGAGTCTCCCTTAATGTAAACCTGACTTATTGTAGATGGTGAAAATAACTTCTTTAAATGTGTGATTAGAAGAATAATACTTTAAACCACATTTTCTCTTACATAAGAGGAGCTGTTTCTTCTGTGTTTGAAGGTATGAAAATGTGCAAATGATCAGGACTTAATCATGCCCAATTAATACTCTCTTAAACCTTTATTTAATGCATTGTGTACAGTGTAACTCTACATAAAACTGGCATTAAAAAAGGTTGTGTTAATGTCTCAACAAAACAATAGCTAAAGTGTGAGATGTGCGACTGTTTTCAGCTGACCTGTGGACGCTGTCGCGAGCCGACTGCACCCCGGTGTCTACCTGCAGGACGGTTTTATAATCCACGTAGGCCTTTTTGTAGCGCTCCAGTGTCTCATAGGCCATAGCTCTGCGTAGCAGGGGCTTCAAGGAAAAGGGTTGCAGCTCCAAAGCCCTAAGAGGATCAGAGACACACAGAAACAGAGGATAAAACTGTCTGCACCGACATGCCGTGTCATTAGTGTAACCTTGCTGATCTGTAGCTCTCCATTCATAAACATGTGACACTACAAATACTCACATAGTGTGTTGATATTCTATTAACTGATACTTAAGTCATACAAGCTTACCTGTTGTAATGATATTTAAATTAACTACATAAGCTGACATTTATATTTTGAGAGGAGGAACTCCACAGATTTTATACATCAAATTGTGCTTGTTAGAACGACTGCAAATAAAGCCTTTTGTGGATAAACTGACTCAAGTGATGTCATAGTTAGAAGTTAGAAAAGGAAGCAATGTGGGGGAGTGGATAACAAATAAGTGAGATTACCAGACCTAAATAGCCCACTTCTCATCTCTGCTTGAAGCTAGATGGGCAATGCTACATTAGCCAATACTAGCATAGCATTTCATTGTGGGTTATGAAGGTGCCAGTGCAATGCTAAGTCTGTTGAGTACTCCTTAAAAAACAGCCAGAAAGAGATGCATTGATTGACTATAGAATAGATGGAGTCTACGTACTTGGTACAGTCCTGTATGCATTCTGTGCTGTTTCCGTCCTTCAGGAAACAGGCTGCTCTGTTCGAGTAGAGGATGCCTAAGTCTTCTGGACTATCGATGCCTGCAGGAAACAAATACATCACACTTATCTGAAGAAACAATGCTTGTAGAGTGATGTATGTTGGTGACGTTTAAAATGTGGACTGTCCTGAGATGCTGAGGCTCTGAGGGGTCGACAGATAAATGATGGAATGCTTTCTCGCCCTATCCTTTCTTCTCTGAGCCTCAACAGCAGCTTTAAAAACGCCAGTGGAGCATCAGTTATTATGTGCTGCTTCAGTGCCTAGAAACTGATGTCGACAATGCTGACACTCCTACTGATTGGGTTTTTACAATAAGAAAAAAGGACTTGATCAAATATTGTGTTCTATGCTTTCCTTTGAGGGTACTCTCTGTTTAGTGTGCTATGAAATTAAGTGTTGTCAGCCTGTCTCCGGTGCTGCAGAAAAGACTATTCATCTTGCCAGCTACGAGAGTAAAGTTGGCTGCGTACTCTTAAAGGTGCAGCATGACATTCAATCTCACCTAAAAGCCCCCATGCACCAGCACATTCTACTCTATCTACGGTCAGCAGTGTTGTCTCGTGCCAACACTGCATTCACAAATCAACAATGATGGCGATGTTAGACTAGAAACTTGTGAGGACGACGTCACTAATTCACACAGGTGATAGATATTAAAAATGACCTGTACTCATCTATAATCATTAACATAACGAAGGCCAAAAAGAATGGGAAATTGTGCAGCATGAAAGGCATGATGCATTTCAAATTGACATGGGATACTGTGGATTGTGACGCCAAGACACTGAGTCAACTTTTATCTGATACCCCTTACAAACAGAGATGCTAGAGAGGCTTTCTCTCTGTCCCTGTGCAACCCATTTGTTGTTGTTGCTACATCATTGACTTGACTTCCTCTAAAGTTGCCTAAGAAGACCTTCTCGCCACCCAAAAACACAGCAGTGACACATTTTCATTCTAAAGATTGCTTTAAAACAGCTATAAAGGGGAAAATATGCTGTAAGAGTATCATAACAGTGTTAATTGTATGATTCTTGTTTATTAAAGGATAAGTCTGGAATTTACAGAATCCATCTTCTCAGATGACATTTGGTGTAATCTCTATAATTAAAAAAAACAAATATCTTTGAGCTGTGGGTCAGCCGAAATAAGAACTTTGAATATTTAAACATCTGCTTTATGAAATAGTCATGGGCATTTTCACTATTTTCATTTCATAGACAAGATAATGACTAATTGATTAATCAAGCACATAAACCTCTTTCGTGATACTGTAATTTACTACGACATTAAGCTCTCATTCAGAATGAAACTGTATTCACCCTGACGAGGTCAAATCAGGTTATTTTTATTGTACTTGATCATCTACGTCAACATTAATAACTCCGGATTGCTTCTACAAATCTAAGATGTCTGAGAGTTAAAATATAATTTAAAACCTAAACTAGCCTAATCAACAGAGGTGTTTCTGCTCTGATAAAATGCTGCTCATGCTATGAATTCTCGGACGAAATACACAACATATTATTCACTTTACTTCACACCCTACCTGCTTCAGCACAGCCATCAATGGCCTGTGTGTATTTTTCCAAGGCGTCCCCAAACTGTCCATTTTTGAAGAGGTGGTTCCCTGCGTTCTTGAGCCGGGCCAGGTGAGGAGGCAGGGCTCCAGCAGGGGCATCCAGATAACTTGTGTCCACTGCAGGGCTGTCCTGCCGCTGTTGTCCACCAGCAGGGCTGTTTTCCCTCTGTGAGCCGTTCACCACCCCCTTCCCCGGAGCTCGGTTGGGCTTTTCTGCGCCGCCCCGGCTTCGCGTCCCGCTCCCCGCTGCGGCCTGGTCCGATCTACCGCCCCCTCCTCCGCTGCCTGGGGGTTTGTCCTGTGCGTTCCCCATGGCTGTACTCCCTCCGCAGTGTGTTAAACTCTTCCTCCCTCCCTGTCTTTGCCTATCTCTCTCTCTCTCTCGCAGAGCCGCAGCTACATCTGAGCCTGCTTGGCTGGGGATTTCTGATGGACACGCCTCCTGGATGAGGTGTCGGAGGTGACGTCACAGATGGGGGGAAGTGCCACAGCGATGCAGTGCTGCAGCAGGATCTGATGGGAGAGCCTCGGATTAGACCTCAGAGTAAAGGGCTCTGCTGGCTGGTGACATACAGGAAAACGGACAGAAATATTAAACTACTGAATAAACAAATGGACAGATACAGAAGCATTGGACTTGTGAAATAACAGGAAAACAAACTGTTGCAGTTTTGGTGATTTATTGTTTTATGCTCCTTTATTTGCAAATGATCAAGTTAAGATACTGAATATTTGCTCTTTACGCCTTATCAAAAACAGAAGCAAAGCTTTAAGCATGTCTCTATTTGACTAGAACTAGCACCATCTTCTTTAGATATTATTTATATTCACCAAATTATGGTAATTTTTTTATGTGTAATTCAAACTCAGTTTTTATATACGTTTGTTATTGCAATTAAGGGATCCCTAATGGTATTTCAGTATTGATTTAAGCTTTCTTTTTTAAATCAGTCATTGGTTAAACTAGTTAAAAGTGGTAAACGTATGCAACCAGCAGGGGTCACATCACATTGAGTTTGTTTAAAGGGATATCAAGATGTTGGAACATCTTACAATTAAATAATCAAATGGTTTACTCCCTTTATTATAGCGCAAACAAACTAAATAATAATGTAAAAGAACAGAGGAAAAGTTAGAACTGCAAATATTGTTATATCCATCTGGATGTTATCATTCAAATGTGATAATGTCTGACTTGTTAAGGGTAGTGAGGATACGTAGGTGAAAAGATGTATGAATCATGCAATCAAATGAACAAAAATTGTGAACAGTCTAGGTCATTGAAAATATTTTTTTAATAAACAGAAACCTTTCATTTATTACTGAACAGTACACTTTGTGTGGCAATGAAAATGCTGAGCTTTAACCAAAATGCAGAGATCTGAAGCCAGGACTGGAGGTCAGATCCCATGGAGTCGTCAGTGTAATTATTTACAATGTTAAAAAAAAAAAAAAAACAGTACACATGAGAGAAAATCAAAAGGGCTGCTCTTCTCTTCTTCAGCGGGCATCAAAGACAACCACTGTAATCAAAGAGTCAAGGAAATGGACAGTATTATAGTATTCAGTTAATACATTGATTTGTAATAAAAAGCCTTTTGCCATCACATAATATTACATTTTTAGAATAACATTTAAAAAGGATACATCTCTTTGTTCTCTTCTTGTACATGATCCTGTAACCGCACTCTCTGCATCGGATTGGATCACGGGCCTTAATTTCATTTTCAGTGTGACATTCTGCAAATGAAGAAAAAATGTTACAGAAAATTTCAAGTGTATCCATAAAAACCTTGTAGATCTAAATGATAATCTATCAGGCTGATATATAACCTTGTTGCAGATATATCAACATCTGTTATAAGTCTGCACATTTTTCAGTTTTTGCCTATTGAGCTTTGTATCCATAGTTGGTTGTTGGGGGTTTATTTTATATGTTAAGTCTTACTTTTGAGAGTAATCAAATGTGGTCTTAGCATTACATAATAATATAAACTTCAAAAAAGTTAATTAAAGCTTGGTTTTTATTATCCAACCTAAAAACACCAGCCCAGTTTTGACGACTCTTTTCCAATAAAAGTAGCTAGCAGCACTAGCTCTAAAGTTGATAAATTTAGCGTGGAAGTCGCCAAGCTGGCAAACACGTCTCTTTAAGCCTCCCTCCAAAGCAGCATTCAAAAAAGTATCTTTATGAAGGTAAACATATCAAAACGGAGCTAAAGAATGAACAAATCTATTGTAATGTACTCACAGCTGTCAAGCTAACATCTTGTGGAAGACTTCGGTGACGCGCAACGAGTTTGCGCGGGTAGGAGTCAGGTAGGTTTGAAGTTAGACAGTCCAATCATTCTCATTTGGGCTTAATAACATGTTCACAAACTTATTGCAAAGGCCTATGGTTCAAGATTTGTTATTTTTGTCTTAATATTTTATTTATTGATTGTTGTCCGGATGTGAGGAGAATTTCGACAAACACATCCAGAATTGTTTCAAAAATACTTCACCTATCCTAGCTTTAGCCCTTATATCATGTATTATTTGGAACACATGATTATAGGTCTTTATTAATATTTGACAATTGTTTGGTAGATATAACATCAAAAATCCTACTATCTTGATCTACTAAAACTGTGTGTAATTATACTGTAGTAGTACACCATAACAGAAATAGAGATAGCAGTACTAACAGCAGAGTGGACAATGTACTCTGATCTTATACTTAGTAGTAGTAATAGTAAAGTAGTAATACTACAGTGTTGAACATGTCTGTTACATGATAAAGTCCAGTTGTTACTTAAGTAAAAATACAAAAGTATAAGCATCAGATAAAAATAAAGAGCTCAATGGTAAAGTATTCATTATGCAGAATGAATCGTTTCAGAATAATACTTATTATATTATTGGATCATAAGTTTTGAGGAAGTATAGACATACTTTATATATTGACAGGTAACAATGGGATCAATAAAGTTGTATCTTCCCCTTTGAATAATATACGATAAACTTGTTGTTGATTCTTTAATTATTTTGTTTAATCTCATTCCTCAAAGCAACGAGTTCTTGATTAATATGTAGCGCAGTATAAAGTACGATTTTTATCTCGAGTGGTATAAAGCAAGCAAGTACATTCACTTAAGTAAAGTTTGAAGTACTTGTACTTTACTTGATAGTTCTATTTTTGCTACTTTCTACATATACCCCACTACAATTGGAAAACTGTGTATTTTTACTCCACTATATTTATTGTATACCTTTAGTTACTTTGCAGATGTGGAATAATGATAGGAAATATAATAAATAATTAAAAAATACTTAATAAATGAATGAGGGTACTTCTTCCACCTCTGTTAGCCTCTGAATTGTAGTAGAGTATAAACTAGCATATAATATAAATACTCAATTCAAGTACAAGTACCTCAAGTTTGTATGTAGCTACAGTACACCACTGATTAGCAGATATGTAATGTAATTAAATGTAACAGCTCCAAGTAACGTTAGCATCGTTAGCCGTAGACGCTGTGACTTTGGCTCATTCTGCAATCATCACAACACAAACTGTAACGTACCTCCGCATATGTAGATCATAGGTTGCTGTTTAGGCGGTTGAGCATCTTTCTGTGGGTCCATGTTATCCCTACAAAGGACAGGAGAAGCAACATCTGTAATGTTACAGCATGCTAACACAGAAAGAGCATGGTGGTATCTACATGATTATCCTGAACTGCCACATTCGGCATACGCAGTGAACAACAAAAGTATTAACCCAATCGTAACATGCAGTATCAGTATCATATGAAATAAAGGAAAATATATTAAATAAATAAATAAATACGACAACTCACCGTTATTAACAAGCTAACTGTTTACTTATCTTTCTTCACATTCGCACGCACTTCTCTGTGTGCTGTAGTGATGTGTTGGTCGCGAACGAACCGGCTCAAAGAGCCGCTTTTTTCAGTGAACGACGTGAGCCGGCTCGCGCCCGCGAACGAGACGTTTTTTTTTGTTTTTGTTAAGTAATACCAGAATGATATGATGATCTCCGCGCTACAGCTGCTCCGTGCATGCATGCAGTGACATGTAATATCCAAGGATTAGAGACTGCTGGATGCTGCTGTTTTGAGCATTGCAATACATTTATTTTTATTATGTTTTTTTTTATGATTAGAGACGGTTGGATGCTGCTGTTTTGAGCATTGCAATATATTTATTTTCACTATGTTATTTATTAAATCTTTGCTGAGCCTAGGGTAATCATAAATAAATAACATAGTGAAAATAAATATATTGCAATGCTCAAAACAGCAGCATCCAACCGTCTCTAATCATAAAAAAAAACATAATAAAAATAAATGTATTNTGATTTCCCTTATGGGGACCTCCATTATGTCCCCATAAGGGAGGCGAGTCCCCACACGTGACTTTGTAAACAGATGTAGGTCCCCACAAGGATAGTAATGCTAGTCCTCACACACACACACACAC